AGAGACTGCCGAACCAGTAGCGAGAACCTTGACATACACCGGTCAGATTTGCCTCAAGTACCCACGCATTTGTTTGCAGTATGAGTCTATTAGGCCATAAAAACCTACGGCAAAACACCGCAGATCAACTCTCATGAACACACGTCATAAGCGAACTCTTTCCATATCGCCCGTCATGGCCTGGTGAATTGGTCGCACAGCATCCACCTAAACTCGACGCGGAATGCGTTCTATAACCCAAGGTGTCAAAACAGCAATAGAGCGTGTAAATCTGGAACACGTTGGTGGCAAATGATAAGTCGTATGTAAATTGTGACTGGCAAAGTTTACTGTGAAATAAACCACATTTTTTCATATACATAACCGGTGGGATGGGGAGCATTATTAAAAGGAACAAAATACAAAGTACAGCTCAGCCAAAAAGACCTTGCGACTGGATCAGCGCCGCGGACTTCGGCTTCTTGGCGACCTTGATCTACGATGCGATTTGTTGTGGGACCGTGAACGGGAACGTCGACGCCTGCCGCCGTACCGCCGCTTGCTGCGGTTATAGAGTTTCCGACATAGTTCCCGAGAGATCGGCTTGAGGTGCATGAAGTTGCAAAAGCCACCTCTAAGGCATTCCCTGAAAGGCAAATTCAAAGATACATCAAACCAAATGAATAATTCCAAGACCGCCTATATGGAAGCAGTCTTCCGAGTGGCCTGACCGGAAGAAGAGCTTTGAGCAAGAGGCGGCGGGAAAAAGTATGCTTTTCATCAAGCATTGCATCACAAAAAAGGGGAAATGCGTGTGCGTTGGTCTGTGATCAGTTTTGGTGTTTGCTTTAATGCACAGTTGATTACATACGATGACCGATCCCATGCAATGTTAACCGAAATTATGAAATGTGTGCTACATACCCTTCTGACATTTTAGACGCTGGAATGTGGACTTCAGAATGCAACACTTTTTGGCAACTTGCAAGAACGCTCCGTGGTAAAAAAAAGACTGCAGGCAGTATGCGCTTGTCTGTCTGTTTTTGATAATCATAATCTATGAAATATGTTTCGAAGAAAAAATGCGCAAAAGTATGTTCTCTTCTGTTCGTTCGGTAGCAAATCACGTAGAGGACATACTTAACTTTCTGCAAAGGTTTCTAATCACAAACCTTTTCACGACCACACAATTTTATTCAAATAGCATTATCTCGTTTTTTAATTAATCGTTTTATTGAAATGCACAACCTAATCCACGTCCACTGCACGTTTTAGAGGCATATATGGTATCTTCTTTGTGGCATAGTGGAATATACTATTTTCCTTACACACGATGTAGGCTGCTTGGAAACTGAAAACCCTAAATGCAAATGGCACGGCAGATCGGGTACTGAAAAATTATTTGGAAAGCTCAAGATACGCACTTGAGTATAAAATTTGAAGACGCGACGACTACGAAAGGAGTTTAAATAACAGCATAGTGAAAAGAACTACTTAGGTATCCCTTTTGTACTGGATGACTTCTCTGCCGACGCCCAAAAAGAAGTGCATTCATAAGTCTACATCCCGGCATGTCTGAAGTATTACCATTATGCCGCACAGTAACCACTATACTTTGTAATTGACACGGCTGTGATCATGCCTGATCTAGCCGGACTCAATGATTTCGTAGACGATGAATGTTGTGCTATGCGCGTGGAAGATGAAGGGAAACTGGAGATATTTTACTACTACTGCTTCAGGACCAACCTTCGAGTGAAGTACACTGACTTCGTCTCAAATGAGACAGCCCGCACTGGCTGCGAAAACACCGCAAGGATATCCTAGGCCACCCAAAAAAGACTTTGGACACGTTTCTCGTTGTCAAACGTACGAGCTCAGTATCGCTACCTTCAAGCCGAAACCGTTACCCAATCGAAAACGTCGAAGAGGTGTTCAGCTCAAAACTTTGCTCTACTCAGTCCGTCAGGATATGGAAATGGTTAATGGGCCTTCGATATTCGGTCTCCGGCGCTGGCAAAGAGAACGGATTAAATTGTCCCGGTCTGCTGTCCCGGACAGTCACGGATAGAGGTACTGTTCGGGACATAATCGGGCTCGGCTTAATCCGTCATGATTGAAGTCGCAACAAGTACAAGTATCGTTCCACACGCGAAAATTAGCGGCAGCGGATCTGAAAAGCTCCACCTGCTCTCTTTTCCAGCGATGGAGGCTGAAAACGGAAGGTCCAAGAGCCGCGTCTATGTCTTGGAGAACGGTGAATAGCCAAGTTTTAAGTCGCCGTCCTCTTCGACGCCCCCAGGTGGGCTGCGGCGCAGGATCGAGGGCAGCATAACAAATTTTGTGAGTCGGGCGACGAATAACGTGTTTAAATCACCTCAGGCGTCTTTCATAGATGGCTTGAGATATCCTCGTGATACTGCCCCAGTGACTGCGGACTGTCTAATAGGAAACGAAATGGGTATACTTAACTCGAACGATGGTTCTCAGACAGCAGTGGTCAAATACCCCCAGTCTTCGCCCATCTTAAACATGCAAAGCCCAGCATTCACATCCATATAGGGGCACTGACGGGACGGATGCTTGGATCTTCGTGGCGATTGAGATGTCGCGTCGGACCTGTAGACGCTTTCGAAGAATTGAGGAAACCCGGCGAGCAGTGTTGATTCGGAAGACACCGCCGTTCTTACTCTGTCCATTCGGCAGCAGCCTCGTCCTGGGGTATTTAATGCTGTCTATTTCTTCAAGTTGATGGCCATTAATCCCCAGGAGTGCCTTCTCCTGGTTGCGGATGCAGCTCGAAAATAACTTCGTCTTTCCGGAATTTATGGATAAGCCAACCGCCGTAGCAATCTCATTCACCCATGACACTACAGACTGTAGATCACCTAAGTTTAAGGCTAGCAAGGCGATATCGTCAGCGTAGTCAAGGTCAGTCGGCTGTCGTCCAGTTGCAAACTCTACACCGTCAAAACTGTGCAGTCTCTCTGATAATGTAGTCAACGGCGTAGTTAGACAGAATGGGTGGCAGGACGCAGCCTTGCCGAACGCCAGATGGTATATCTAACGGTTGGGATTGTTGAAGACCAGAACTCGCGCTCTGGTGGAGTAATACTAGGCCTTGATCGTGGCAAGGATTTTGGTCAGTATTCCACCTAGTTCCATTATTTCCAACGAGGACTCGCGATGGACGGAACCAAACGCAGCGTCGAATTCGACAAAGCAGTCGGCCGTCGGCAGCTGGTAACGCTGCCGGAATTCCAGAGTGGGCCTCGGTGTGAATATT